TCAGAATAGGCTGAAAAGTCAGAGACAACAAGATAAGACATCTGTGACATTTTATGGAGATACACACCGAGCCACAAATAGAGACAGTGGGTTCACTGTGCTCCTAATTGCAATGACACTGAGAGCTCTGGCTGTTCTCAGCACATTTGATTGCAGCCTTTGCCTAATCTCAGTCTTCAACAAGATCAGCAACACTATGCAAAGCCAACAGGAACAGTTTCTGCCTCACCCTTTCTTTCATCAGCCAGTCATTCCCAAGTTTTGCAGCCAGCAGCACTCACCAGGCACACCAGACTCTTTCCTGCCCATCAAAAGGCACCTCCGCCCCCACCAAGCTCATGATGTCTCCACCTAAGGCCTCCTATTGATGTCAGAGGACTTCAGATCAGATGGGCTGACGTGCAACAGAGAGGAGAAGGAAACCATAAGCACCAGAAGTGGGAAGGAATGGATGCCTGCAAGTCATCTGTATCCATTTCACACTACACAAATGCCAGACACGAAGAACAGAGGTAAGGAGAGCAATCGGGAAGCTGCTTGGGCTCCTTTCATGTCAGTCCCACCTGCCACTTCAATACACAGGCTCTTCTTCCACATCAACCTGACTGCACGTCTTCTCACAAGAGAACAGAAAGCAGCCTTCAAATCCTGCTCCGTGGCACCAGAGACAGGTTGCCCTCAGGCAAACGCCAAGAAGAAGGGCTGGATGTATTTTGTTTAGCTTGAGAACCTCAGATTCATAGACCCTCCCTCCCCCCATTTAAGCTGTATGAACTTCTGAGAGCAAAACTACCTGCTGGAAAAAGTTTTTCAGCAAAAGGATCACAGACACCATGGAAAGATGGATGCCTTCCATCTTCAAAGCACGAGGCAGCACACACTGAAACAGTTTGGTGCCCCAGAGCAGCAGCCGAGTGTGATAAATGACAGTGATTGTACAAACAAGGTCAGCCCTCAGGACCCGAATGTCTTTACACCTGGAAAAGCAATCAGGCTTTCTTGATACTGAGGAATTTAAACCAAGAGAAAAGAAGGAGACAGTCTTTGGGAGACCAAAGTTGTTTTGGAGTCTGCAGACGCCGAGCTGGATGTCACATTTCCCACTGTTCCAGACTAAACGGGTGGCAGCGCTTGGACGACTTAGTGCCAGGTCACTGTTAGCTCATATGGATCAAGATGTGATGTCACCCTTCCTATTTTTTAAACTGACATTAATATCATGGTTAAACAACATTTCCTCTGGCTCCTGCTGGAGATGGTGATCTAGATGATGTCTAGATGCTCCAGGCAGCTTCCAATCCTGAACTACCTGAGTACAAATGCTCCGAAACTGTGTTGCTTCTGACCCACCAAGGGTTTTCTTTCTATTTTTTACCTGCATTGCCACCTTCTATTTGCTGTTTTGTGCCCTGTTGTCTACTTTTTGTGAACCTTGCATGTAGAACAGTCTTAATCTATCCATATGCTCGACAAACATAGGAGTATTACATATTTCAGTGAACAGCAAAATTAAATTTCCAGTCAGTTCAGAATCCAGGTTTCATCTGCCTTTTCACTGCTTACAAAAGATGAATATTAATGCCTATTTGCTGCAAGAAAAACCAGGGAGGAGGGACTCAGGAAAGAGGGAACTGGTGTCTAGTTTGCTACTCTGACGTTCGAGTAAACTTATTAATTATAAAAGATATACACGCACGAATGGACAAAGACCAGCTGCAACACACCAGGTCAGCTTAACAAAATGAGAAATGGCATTTATAAATTTATATTGGATTTCAACAGAATAGTGAAAAATTAATCTGAGGACGGCAACAAATTTTGAATCCACAGGAACACCTTGATAGACAGAGCTGAAATGCTGTGGGGTAGCACATGCAGGGCAAAATGGTGAATTAATAAAGTAATAGATCCCTAAATCCCAGGATCCTACTCCCCTATTACCAAACATGGCTTGTTTCCTATGTACCACTTCCCAAAGTAGAAATGTTGCTATTAAATGCTCACAATCAGAATACACATCAGCCTAAGGTCTCATCTGCACCAATGTTCACCACATTTTAAATAAACCTTGCAAAAGGAAAAATGAGAAGCACTGTGGTCTGGTGAAGACACAGCACACAGTGGGAAATAAAGAATCTACTTCTACGTTTGTAGTGATTTGTCAAGAAACAGAAAACAGAAACAGAAAACTTGATATCTCCATTTCAGTTTTCCTACCAAGACCACAGGAGATGATGGAAGTCAGACAAGCACAGTGTAAATCAAGTCAACAGATTATAGAGTCATGGAACCATTAAGGTTGGAAAAGACTTCTAAGATCGAGTCCAACCATTAACCCAACACCACCATGTTCACAGCCACCAAATCCCTAAGCGCCACATCCACACACCTCTTGAACACTTCCAGGGGTGGTAATTCCACCACTTCCATAGACAGCCTGTTCCAATGCCCAACCACCCTTTCAGTGAAGAAATTTTTCCTGATATCCAATCTAAACCTCCTCCAGTGGCACTTGAGGCCATTTCCTCTCATCCTGAATGTGGAGGCTGTGGAAAGAGTTGTGGAGAGGAGGGAATTAAAAAACTATCACATTGGCCATAGGATGGAGAGTGGCCTCCAAAGCCTAATGTCCAGGAGAGAAAAAGATGGAAGGAAGGGCTGTGTGTTCTGCTTGGTGTTCTCTTAAAATTGTTTTGTTTCACTGGGGGTTTTCTGAGATTTCTGGGGGTTGAGTTGTGTTTTTGTTGTTGTTTTTGTTTTTGTTTTGTTTTTTGGTGTTTTTTTTTTTGTTTGGTTGTTTTTTTTGTTTTTGTTTTTGGGGTTTTTTGTTTGTTTTTGTTTGTTTGTTTTTTGTTTGTATTTTTGTTTTGGTTTGGGTTTTTTGTTGTTGTTGTTTTGGGTTTTTTTGTTTGGTTGGTTGGTTGGTTTGGTTTGGTTTGCTTTTTGGTGTTTCATTTTTGATTTTTCAGGATTTTTTTTTAACTGGGAACTAAAAGAAAACCAATGAGATGCTGTGCAGCAGTTTGCAAGTTTCTTTCCAGTCAGAGGTCAACACCCAGGAAGGTAAAATGAAACATATTTAAAAAAAATCAAATGTCAGTGAATGTGGACATCAGACAAACAGTGGCTTGGGACATCCCCACAGTGCCATGGAAGCAAAAGACACCTTTGAAAAGACAGAATCACAGAGTCATTCAAGTTGGAAAAGACCTCTAAGAATACTGAATGCAACCATTAACTGAACACAGTGGAAAACAGAAAGAAGGAGTCACAAGCCCACACAATCAAGGTGAGAACTAGATATATCTCCAAATATTTCAGGGATATGGAGAGGAGAAAATAGTCAACACAATCCCGAGCAGAGACTAACTGGAACGTGGGCATGGAGACGACTACTATGCAACCACAGCCTAACTATGAAATCATTAGTCACAGAATCATTCAGGTTGGGAAAGAGCTCCAAGATCATCCAGCACAACCTGTGACCGACCCCCAACTTGTCACTGAGGCCAGAGCACTGAGTGCCACATCCAGTCATTCCCTTAACACCTCCTGGGATGGGGACTCCACCACCTCTCTGGGCAGCCCTTTCCAAGGCCTGACAGCCCTTTCAGTGAGGAAATTATTCCTGATGTCCAACTTCAACCTCCCCTGGTCCAGCTTGAGGCTGTTTCCTCTTGTCCTGTTGTAAGTGTCCTGGGAGAAGAGACCAACACACACCGGGCTACAACCTCCCTTCAGGAAATTGTAGAGAGTGAGAAAGTCCCCCCTGAACCTCCTTTTCTCCAGACTGAGCCCCCTCAGCTCCCTCAGCCGCTCCTCATAGACCCTCTAGACCCTTCACCAGCTTTACTGCCCTTCTCTGGACACGCTCCAGCACCTCAATGTCCTTGTCTTCCCTCAAGAATAACCTCAAAGAAAGGTCAAAAAACCACTGTGGTCACATGTATTTATACACCCACACAAAACCCACTAGGAATACTGCATCCAAACAAGCTCTCATTGCTTTTTCTTCTTTATACCAAGTCTGTAGCTCATGAAGAGGTGAGGAGAGTCAGCCTGTAGCCTCTGTTGACAAGAGCCCTTCTGACATTTCTCTCCCTTGCTCTGCCCATTGTGCTTTTACAGTTACTGCACCTATGTCTCCTCACACAAGACTACAAAAGATTTCTGAACAATGGCCATGCTGGGAGATGAAGGAAAACCACGTGGTAAAAAACTCCATGTGCTCCAACAGTGAGAAAATGCAGAAGGATCCTCAGGATTGCACTGGGTTCTGTGGCCACCCACCATGAATCACAGCCCAGAGTCAGTAGTGGCTGGGAGCCAATTTTCCTGCCAGATTAAAGTGAATTTGCTAAAAAACTTTTGTTGAACCTGCACTGGGCCACTGTGCATATTTGAGGAAAAACAACCATTGTCAATTTTCCAACTCATTCACTTTTGCCAAGACCCCTCACTGATGGAGAACATGGTTGATCCCTTAATTCTTTTGAGTGGTTTTTAAATATCCCATCAATCTGCTGTTCACAGAAGGACTTTCTGCCTGTGTTTTTAAACCACAACACAATCTCCTTGAGGCAGGAGGAAGGGTGGACACCTAGACTGGCTGTACTTCAACTTCCCCCCTCCTCAAATAAATGAAAAAATAAATGGTTTTTAAAGCAAAGGATGTTCCACAATGGGAGCAAAATCACAGGCAGGCGAGGAATTGCTGGCATTGTTTGTAACAAGGCAACAGGATGAAAATTAAGCAACATGGACTGAAGAACAAGCAATTGAGATGTTTTTGACCACAGACATTCACAAGAGGGATGCAGCAGAAAAACACAGCAACAAATTTGCCCAAATCCTAGGAAAACACAACTAACAACCACCCTCATCTGCCAGGGAGGGGAGGCTCTTCACGATGGAGCGAAGCCTCCTGGCACAATTCCTGCCTTCAGCAGAGTAGGGCAGGCAAGTGCAAGATTAGCATAGCAGAAGAAAAGAGATTTCACCTTGTTTGAAGGCTCTCAGGCAAGGATGACAAGACAGAGAACACGAAGCATCCGGATGTGTAAATATGTGCTGTCAAAAGGAGCTTCTCTTCTCTAGACCAGCTCCACTCACAAAGCAGTAACAGATCACAGCACGTGGCAGCCTGGGGAGCACTAAACTCATCCCCTTCCTATCCTTCTTTCACCCTGAGGACAAATATTTTGGGGTATCCACAAAGTCGTACAGGTCAGGTCTGCTCTGCCACAGCCCCTAAGCAGTTATGAACCGGAGACCATAAAAAGCCCTATTTCAGCTCATTTCCCAGCTTTGTTCACATTGCAGGACTCCTCCTTCCTGCTGATAAGCTCCTGTAGCACATGATGGCACCAAAGGGAACCAAGTGCAAATATCAAGGAGAAAAAGCGGCTTCTCTTCAGCGCGTGACTCATGCAAGAAGAACTCCAAGCCCTGAAGGAGCCAAAGCAAACCAGCTGACTGGCAAACCCTGCACAGGAGGGGAAAATTGCCCTTAAAAACACAGACTGCATTTTTTTTGTTGTTGGTATTTTTTAGGCAATTATCCATATATAAGACCCTGGTGAAGGCAGGAGACACAGTGGGGGATGCAAAGGTCCAAATATAAGTGCCAAGTGCCCTCTCAGGTGCCCTGTGAGGCGTGTGTGGGGATGGCAGACCTGTCTGGTGATGCACAGCCTTCTGGGCTGGCAGAAGAGTGGGAACCGTCTCCAAATTAAGGCATCTAAATCACAGAATTTTTTGGGCTGGAAAGACCTTTAAGATCATTCAGTCCAACCATTAACCCGGCACTGACAAGCCCACCAATAAACCATGTCCCCACGTGCCACATCTACATGTCTTTTAAATCCCTCCTGGGATGGTGACTTCACCACTGCCCTGGGAAACCTGTTCCAGTGCTTGACAACTCTTTCAGCGAAGAAATTTTCCCTAATATCCAATCTAAACCTCCCCTGGTACAACTTGAGGGCATTTTCTCTTGTCCTATCACATGTTGCTTGGAAGAAGAGACTGACATTCACTTCTCAGTGTCTGCAAAAGGTGTCTGAGCACCTGCAGCTACTGGGAGAGACTTAAGTCAGTACAGTCAGTGAAGGTTGGAGAGCAAGCCAAAATACACAGGAGGTGCCTATTTTTCAGCAGAGAGGGAGTGGAGAAGAGGGCAGCTCCTAGAAAGCATAAACATAACACAGATGAAAAAGAAACCCTTAAAATTTACCTTTAAATTTATCATTATCAACACTCTTTTCCATGATTTATCTCATTCTGCCACTTTCTTCCTAATGCAGTAGAAGAACTAAACAGGTGAGGTCATGTCAGATAGGGAAAAGAATATTGGAGTGGTGGAAAAGCCCATAAAATAACACCCCATGAATTCCCAAGTCATCTGGAAAAGGCAAAACATCCCTTCTTTTTCCACTGCATGAACTGGGGTGTAAGGAAGCAAATCCAGGAGACAGGAATGAAAGAAAGGAGACACTCCTCCATGTAAAGTCTAAGTAAGCAAGGACTTCATTTCATGAGCTGTTGTGCATCCTGAAATCTTACACAGGCTTAAAAATGCAACAGGCCTATGAAAAGAAGAAGGAGGGAGAAAAAGAAAGAATAAAAATACATTGTGTGGGATTAAATGTACCACCCCTGACTGAAGAAACTTGGGAAAACACTGGGAGAAGCCCTGTCTGCCCTGTTCTCATGCTCTTCACAAACCAGCCACAACTAATCACATAACAGGACTAATTTTGGTTCATTTTGCACAGACACATCTCTGTCCTGACCCAGTTTGTCTCTTCACATGACAATTCCAGAAGGAAATCCTTCAGCAAAAATGCAGAACTGGACAGTTCAAGAGCTACCAGGATACTTGAAATTCTCCTCTTCTGGTCAGCTGCTGTGTCTTGCCTCTTTCCATGACCATGATGACTGTGCCCTCCACTCAGTCCCAGTAACCTGGACATACAAACAAGGTTAGACACAACCCCAAGGGCCATATTTGAAGACAACCAGATCTCCATCACCCAACAGTGAAGAGAAAGGAGAAAGGAGAAAGCAAGAGCATCACCAGAGGCCTGTCACGTACCAAGGGTTCACAGCTGAGCTTCCTTTTGTATTCAGGAAGGCTCAAACCTAAAGCCATCAGTGCATTTATGAAGGTAAACACTCTCTGGAGACTGAAGTTAGGAACAGGCTCAAGGAACTAACAGGTGCCAAGTTCACATCTGATGAGGGGCATGAAAAAGATGCCTCTGTGTTTGTTGTGCTTCATTTTACTGCTTTTAACAAAAATACTGTAATTATGTTGTGTAATTACATCCCTATAAGGGATGAATGTGAATTAAGGTGGTTATGAGGTATAAAAATAGTTAGGTCCCAGTAGGGTGAGGTGAGAGACAGACCCTGTTCTGCTGTACCTGCTCGCAGCCAGGGATGGTGATGCCCACAGCACTTCCATCCCACTGGCATTCCCATTACACCATTCCACAGAGCTGCAATATTGAGTAGAAATACAGACTCCCACACAGGATTTTTTTTTATTCTCTATCCAAGCCTTTCTAATCTCACTGGTGCAGTTTTTCTATTGTTTGGTGGGTGTTTTTAGTGACTTGACCCTATGTAAACGACAGGATCCACATTTGAGAATTGTTTCCTCTTGCTCTTTTCAGCCAGACAGCCAGGTTTTTAACTTTTTTTTTTTTTTTTTTGTCTCAGAAGCCTTTTTCAGCCTGAAGAAAGCACCATTCTGAAAATGAAATAAATAAAACCTAAAAGGAAGGAGACTGTAATGGAGTTGGGACATGGACCAAAAGAACTTGTATTTCCAATGTTCTTTTGCACCGTTTGCTTGTGTTACATTCAAAGCTTTGGGAAACCATCCAAAGCTATACAGATAGAAAATAATCCATGGAAATTACAGCTGCAAGGTGCCAGTGACAGCGGAAAGGGTTTTGATGGGGAAAAGGAAACTGAAAATTCAAGGATGAGGTAAAAAGAATGGAATGGTTTGTGCAGAGAAATGTCCAAAAAAGAAACGGTGAAGTGAGGAGATTTGTCACCACCACTCCCAAAAAATAAAGTGACAAAGACAATGAAAGAAGCCCTGTGCAAAAATGAATTGGACAAGAGTTGGAGGACTTTTCATCCTTCCCACAGGTTTTTGCTTCCCCATTTATTTCAGTGGTGGATTTAGGAGACCTCTAATGGGTTTGGCCACTTCCGTCCCCATGTGAATAAACCATAGGAAGGTCCAAGCTCCTGAAAGCAAGGGAAAGATGAATGAACTGGAGACCACACGGGCCTTCAGACCAGGCATAAAATATTCAGCTAAACCAGTCACAGTCATAGGGCAAAGCTCCCCAGCTTGGATCTTCCCAAGGAGCACAAGGTCCACATCCCCTCCAATCTCCCCCGAAGGGTTGAACCTCTTTGGAGAGCTCTTAGAGGAGCCTGGTGGGAGGGAATGTGGTGGCTGGTGAGTCCCCAGAGCCCATAAAGCTCTTCTGAAGACACATCACACAGAGTCCAAGGACACCTCTCTGTTTCCAAAACAGATGGGGCTTGGAGCAACCCGGGATAGTGGAAGGTGAGCCTGCCCATGGCAGGGGGTTAGAACTGAATGAGTTTCAAGGTCTCCTCCTACCCAAACCATTCTATGATTCTATGATTGGTATTCCCCTTGATAAATAACCTGATTAAATCACATTTAACTTGAAAAAAATATTACTCAAAAGACACGTCACCTCCATAAAGATGAAAACCCTCTTTAAATTTAAAGAAGATAGAAAAGTTTAGCCATTGTACCTTTCAAATCAACCCCCAATTTCACTATTAGGAAAAAAATAAAAACACTGCAACTGGAGCATAAAGGAAATAGTTTAAGGTCAAATGAAACCACAAACAATTCAGGCAATTAAGATCATGGGAGCACTGGGAGAGTGCAGGGAGTTGTGTCTAATGGGTTCGTTCCACAATGAGATCAGATATATTTATTCAAATTGAACAGTGCCTCCCTCTTTTTGCTGCCTTAATCCAAGGAGTAAAATTTTCCACAAAAGGTATGAGAATCTGGCCCTTAATGATGCCATGCCCATAAAAATCAGAAGGTAATGTTGTTATTTCAACTAAGTATCATAAAAGCCTCCATCAATTAAAATCTGCCAGGCAATGTACATATTGCAGATGTTTCAGAATAAATTGGTTCAGTGCAGAACAGAGTGTGTGAAACCCCAGCAGGGAGGGATATTCCCACCTTAAGCTTCTCTAAAGAAACACATGCCTGTAACAGGCAATTATTTTGCAGGGAAGCGTTTTAAAATCCATTTTCCAATAGTTCAAAAAGTTGAGACACTCTCTGCAGATAAAATTAAGAGAAAATATGAAAGAACTGAAAGGCTAAAAAAAGAAATCAGGTCCAGATGGATCCCCGGCTGAATTCTATAAAATATTTACAGATCTTCTGTCACCAAAACTTACGTTTCTTTTTGATGAAGTGGAAACCAAAAGCTCTCCACCTGTTTTGCTTTTATTTTTTGCTTTTAAACCCTTCAGGGAAGATATAATTATGTTATTTAGGAAAAAAAATAAAATTAAAAAAACCCCCAACAAACAGGAAAAAAACTCCCAAACCCAACAGATTTTAATCTCAGCTGTAATTACTGTAGGTGACTCCAATTAATCAATGTTGATTCTAAAATTCCACAAAAAAAGAGATATTGTCCCTTGTGTTTAATTTACCCCAAAGTTGTTCCCTATATTTCAAGTTCAAGAGTTTGATCATTTAAACAGGCTTAGCTCGGATAAGCACAGCCTGATACCACCATCACTCACATAATGAATTAACAGCCCAGTTCCATGACAGTGCTGTCTCTAGATACCAAAAGATGCTTCATCATGTGTCATAAGGCTAAAACATCCTCTTTTTCATTTAAGATCAGCTAAAAAGTTCTCAGTTTTCTGCTCCAAAATCTGTATGTTCCATTTGCCAACATCCAGACTGACAGAGCTCAGCTCCCCGAGGAGGAGGGAGCAGTTTATTTAGACTGATTTTATATTTGTTGTGCTCCTGTGGATGATGGAGCAGAGGAACATGGAGTGGCCTTTAAACTGTAAATAATCCTGTTGGTCCAGGCAGGACTTTTGGAGAAGGATGTGACTGAGCACCAGCAACAACCTCAGTAATTAAACCCTTTTTTTTTTCCCAGG